CTTGAAGAAGAAGTAATTTGTCTGCCCCGAGCTTTCTATCAGGCAGTACCATGTAGAATGGCAAAGGGGCATCAAAAAGCCCAGCATATGACAGGCCTTGCTTAGGAGCTCACCAGCCAGACAGGATGACAAACATGGGCATAAAAGGGGAGGAGTCATGTGATGGGTCCATCAGCAGCACAGCTGGGCAGCTCTTGAGCTGAATCTGGTCCTCAGACTTATTTTGTTTATACTACCCCGTATTTTTAAAGATACTGAATTAGTTGCCAAAATTTATAATTCAGGAGTTTTTACATAAAAATTCCACTTATCAGCTTCCCTGGAAAACCCAGATTGGGCAACATTGGGGGAACAGTGAGCTGGAGCGCCCCAGAGCAGCTTCTCCTGTATGCAGGCGCTGTACTCTCTGGTTCTCCATGGTCCCCACTGCCCACTGTGTTGCAGTTGGCCCACACCCCTCATTTATGCTACTTGCAGGCGTTTGTGACCCTTACAGTGCAGTCAGGGTGCCATATAATTAGGACAGGAAATATTACAGGATACCAGAAGGAAGAGAGATCACTTTGGAGAGCACAGTATAGTGGAAAGTACACAGGCTTTAGAACCAGTCAAATGTAAGCTCAAGTTCTGGCCCTGCCTGCCTCCTGCCAGCCTTTTGCCTTAGAGACGTACTTTCCCTCCAGTTCCCTTGGCTTAAGAAAAATGGATAACATTACCTCCCTAATGAGACTGTAGTGAGGATTAGCAATAATGTATTAATAGTACCCAACTTGCCTGGCACCCGAGCAGCACATACCATGGTTGATCCTGCCCCAAAAGTCCAGCAGGTCCTGGGGTTTAAGTACCTGGAAATTGTTATAAAAAGAAGCCTGAAAAAACACACAAAACACCTCAACTCCAGGTGGATTAAAAAGTTAAATCTAAAAAAATACAAACTCTCTTATTTTTTAAACTAAAGGGAAATGCAGTTGTATATTTAACTTTCCTCAGGATGGGAAAAGACTTTCTAAGCATAAAAACCATAGAGGAGAGCCAAAGAACGGTCAGTAGAGTTGACTCTAAAAGTTTTGGGGCTACTCCGTGTTAAATATAATAAAACAAAAGGCAAGTAACAAATGAGAAAGTATCTCAGACAAAGGCAAAATATCTTACTGTCTGTAGTTACAGATCAGTAAGAAAAGATTAACATCTCGTAGAACAATGGACAAAAACATGAGAGTTCACTGTGGAAGAAATGCAAATAGTAAATAGGCATGTGAAAAATTGTTGAACTGGGTTATTAAAGAACTCTGAAGAATAAGTTGCCATTTCTTCCTAAATTTTTTTCACCATTGTCAGTTGATATGTTCAGTATTGGTGACGTGGCCAGAAGATAGATACTATTATACTTTCCAGATGAAATCACCAATTGCTACAACCTTCTTAAGAAGGCAGAATGGTGACATAACTCATGCCCTTGGATGCAGCAATTCCATTTTTAATAATGCATCCTAGAAATAAACTCAGAAATTTTTTGCCCAAGATCTACCTGCAATAACTTTTTCTTTCTTTCTCTTTTCTTTTTTTTTTTTAGTACTACTTGTTTATGAAATCTCAATTTCCAAACATATGTACCTTGCTGCTGTATCCTGACCACGAGCACAGTGCCTAACGTTAACAGGTGTTCAAAGGATAGTTGTGAGATTAAAAGAGGATAGTTGTGAAACAGAGGACTATCATATACTGTAGCTATATTTTTGAAATATTGTATATTTAAGACATAGGGAAATACTCCCAATATACTGTTAAAATGTAGAGTACACGGTTATATCTATAGACTGTTCCTATATGTGTGTTTTATGAATTCTGGATATTAGGATTAAGGGTGATTTTTGTATTTTCCTTGATGTGTGTGATGATTGGCACTGAGCATATTTTGAAAGGACAGAACAACACAGGACTCCCCTCGAGCTTATCAGGGTAGGAAGGCAGACATTGAACAGGTAATTACAAGTGTGTCATTTACTACAGTAAACATGTTAATTTTATAGTAGAAAGAAAAGTGATGCCATTGATGATTTTCAGGCATTGATGGTTGGTTGTGATTTCTAAGGCACTTTTTTAGGTCAAGGAAGGGGTAATTACCTGAAAAATCTGCACAGTTCTCATACAGTGTGATGTTACCTTTCCAGTGCAAAGAGGAATGTTCAGGTTTCCTGTCCTTTGGGTGGTTAGTAATGACATAATAAATACACCCAGATATTTTTTTCCTAAATAGCATTTTCCTAAAGGAAAATGCTCTTATCTTGGTGAGGTGGACATGAGAGTTGTAGAACTTTGGGAAGCCCTATTGTTCCTTGGAAATTATGGTTAAACATTCAAATGAACTGGCTGTGGCTGGGAGGGAGTGAGAATGTTAGTCAGCAGTAATATAAAAATACATATTTTTCCTTTTTCCATCTACTTATGAGGTTTCATGTATGTGAAAAACCAAGAACAGCAACAATAAAGCCTCCCTTGTAGGCTGATTGTGTCCCTGGAAGCTTCTAACTGGGATCAGGGATGGAAAATTTTATCCTAAGCCATGTTTTTTTAGGGGTTTGTTTTGTTTTGTTTTGTTTTGAAAAAAGACCTGAGTAAATCAAAAGGGTTACAAAGACGTGGTCTGGTAACTTAACCATGCTTAATGACTGTGAATGCGCTCCTCTAAACAGTCTGACTTGTGCTTCAACTGTCGCTTTTATCCATTTATCAGCTCAAGCCTTTACGCACAGCCACATGAGCTCCTCTGGCCTTTTATCTGCTTCCTAAGTGGAAAAAGTCTCTGTGTCTTGGTTAAGTTCAACTGTGGTACTGTGGTCTGTTGTCTCTAGCCTGGAGAGAAGGAAGCATTTGTGAGCTCTGTGTTGCCTTGGTAGGATCCCTTGTCCTCTTTTCTATCTCCTGCAAATTAGGAACCATTTTCTAAGCCAGGGGTATTGGAAGGAACAAGTAAGCCTCTAAGCAATGGTGTCGCCTTTCACAGTGGGTGCATTGTGTGTTGCTGTTTCCTTTGGGGACTGATTAGAGTAGCTCCCTCCCAAGTTCAGGCATACCCTCTTTTTCGTCCAACTAATGATTATATTGGATGTAATTTGTTTAAACCAACCTGAGGCCATCTCTCATTTGAAAAGTTCAGGTCTTAGGAGCATTGAGTGGAATGTAGATCTATTGAACGTCGATTTCCATCAGTTCTGGTATTTCCCTCTTGCATCTGGAATTCTCTTTCACTTGCTGGATCTATTCCTGCTTCATGTTTCCAGGTAGAATTGCAGTGCTCACCTGTTCTCTTCCACTGGCTTTGGCACCCTCTCCTCCCCAATACTGTTTTTAATATACTAGGAGACGTTCATCTCAGGATTATCTTCATGTTGTGGTTGATTGAGCGTCTTTCCTCTCTACTTCCCTCTCCTGTTCTAGTGTCTGGGCTTGGTAGATTAAGATGGTTGCACTTCCTGATTATGTAGAGGGCAGCAGTTCTGCATCTAGCTGTGTGAACCTTGATCTGGTAACTGACTTTTCAGCCTAAGTCACAGGGCCTTGGGCCCTCTAATCTCATGGACAGTGCACTCCCTTCTGATATCTTCTCTCCAGGAAAACATACATTTCCTTCATCAGGAATGCTTATTTCGGAGAGCAACCTTCTGCTTTCCTAAGATGGCGCTTTTCTGAGAACGGGGTCACCTTCCCACTGGTGCCTACTTGGTTGTGGGGTCAGAGGTAAATGCTGTGGTGCATACATGCTACTGAAAGAGAAAAGTGGCAGAGGCCATGAAAATCAGTCACCGTAACAGTTATTTCAGACACAGTTTCTTCTGTTCTGCCTGTAAAAATTATGAGTTTGCTTGCATAGTCACTGCCAAGAGCTGGGGCCTGGAACTTAGACTGTTTATGCTAGTTCATTATTGTTTTGATTTTCATTTTCCTGGAGGAAGTCATTGTAAATAATTATGTTCTCAGAAGCACCCCTACAATAATAAACATAAACACAGTGTTGCAGTGAAATCAATCCTGCACTAACCCAGATGTAGTCCCGTGCATCAGAAGTGAAGCAGATGAGTGGATGGACCTGCCCAGGAGAGGTGAAGAAATCAGGAAGCTCAGGTCTGTCCCAGTCTCAGCTCTCGACATGTTCATTGTTGCTGTGTGCGAGGAAGTTGTGTAATGCACCCCTGTCAGCTGTGCGAGAGGAGTGATACCACCTGTTGGCTACTTCGCAGGCTGTGCAGTGGAGCTTCATTACCATGCTGGACATGGCTGAGCTCTCTGGAAGAAAGGGCAATATAAAATACCAGGCATTTGTATTCCCAGTGCTCAGGAATCGTGGTCCATTTTCCAAGGCTTAAACAGCACGTCTTCAGTTTGCAACGCTGTTCTGGTCAAGCCAGAGCTCACTTCTCTGAGAAAGAAATAGGAATATATCTCCAAAACACCAAAGGACTATAGGAAGAGTTCTGACTAGTTTTAGCAGAGGTATTGATTAGGGAGTTAGCATAAACTGTGGAAGATGGTCAGAACCCATCATACCATGTCTTGTTTAAAAACCCGTTCTCCGGCACTGTGTCAGACCACAGAGCACTGTGTAAGCAGATGTGAAAGCTTCCTGTGTAAGTGAATTTTATTTCCTTTGTGGGCCAGAATGGGCTTTCCTGCAGTTTGGATGCTGATAATAATAATAGCTCATACTCCCAGCGACTCACTTTGTGCCAGTCTCCAAGTGATTGCCACGTACTGTATTAGTTGAGGCTCACAACAGCCCTATGTGGCAGGTGCTGTCATCATCCCCGTTTTGCAGAGGAGTAAATTAAGATACAGAGAAGTGAAGTAACTGGCCAAGGCCAGATAGCTGCTGAGTGACAGAGGCAGTCAGTGACCCCTGCCGTGTGGCTGAGGAGAGGCATCCATTTCTTTGGCCAGAGTTGTGTTCTGTTGCATCTTGACCACACAAGCAAAAACTTCAGTAGATGAACGCTGTTTTCTAGGAGGAGGGTGGAGACTACACATATGTGGAAAGAGTGAAGATACCCTTGGATCACGGGACCTTGCTAATCATGGAAGGAGCTACGCAAGCTGACTGGCAGGTGAGAACACATGAGTAATGTGGATTCACTCTCCTGTGGAGGCAGCTTCCTCACTGGCTTATGATAATTCATTTCTGTAGTAAACATGGTGCGGAGCAAGTTGTTTTTGTAATGAGCAATAGGCAATACAGTGACATTATTGCCAGGAATTTTGATGCTGCTGACAATCAAACTGGACCTCTACAGCAGCGTGTCCCATAGAACTCTCTGCCATGATGGGAATGTTCTATATCTGTGCAGCCCGGTGTACTGGACACATGACTACGGTCTCTAAAATGTGGCTAGTATGCTGAAGAACTGAACTTTGATTTAAATGAATTTAAGTAGCTTCAGATAGCTAGTGACTGGCATATTGAGCTGCCTAGCTCCATTTTAAAGGCAGGTCATTTTTTTTAATGTTTTTTTTTATTTCAGAGAGAGGAAGGGAGAGGGAGAGAGATAGGAACATTAGTGAGAGAAACATCGATCGGCTGCCTCCTGCAGCTGATCTGGGGATTGAGCCTGCAACCCAGGCATGTACCCTGACCGGGAATTGAACCAGAAACCTCCTGGTACATGGGAGTTACACCAGCAGGGCAGGTCATTTTTATAATGTGCAGATTAAGAACACAGCATAAGAGCAGAATCCTGTGTCTTTCTTTGTCTCAGCCATTTGTCTTTTCTTATGAGATTCAGAAAAATGGCAGGAGGCTGAGGGGAAGAGCAAGCATTAGAAAAGATGAAACCATCTAACTGTGAGGGTGCTGGCATCTTGTAGTAAGGATGGGAGTTGGGTTTGTTTCAAAGAACAGACCTTTCTTCACAAGACTCTAAAGACCTTATTGCTGCTCATTTAAGGGGATAAAATCGAAACATGTGTATGTACTTGTAAATAAATTTCAGATGGCTTTGAAATAAAAACGTACGTGTTTTTAATGTCAAAGTTATTTCTGTTTCCATTTAGCATCGGGTGCCCAAAGAGTACCACTCTAGAGAGCTGAGAATAAACCTGACCTTTCGGACAGTCTATCCAGACCCTGGAGGGGCGCACCGGTGATGTGAAATCTTTGAGGGAGAAGCTGTGCTGAGACTGGGCAAATCTTTCACCAAGAAGAAATTTCGAGAGGCTGGCCCATCTGATCTCGCCGTGTGGCTGTTTGGAAGACGAGGCTGGGACTAACTTCCCAGCTCAGAGTCCTATTAAGTACTAGCCAGCAGTTCATGTTCATACTATGCTTACTGTGGGAGTGGTAATCCCTAATCACATCTTGAAATCACATATTTTGTTTAGGTAAATAAAAACCCCTACGGCTGTGCTTGCGGATGATTCTGTCCATGAGCAGTTTTTCTCCTGCCCTCCCCTGCTTTGTTTGAAAAAATGTGAATGGCATTTGCCTCTGGGTGTAAATCCACACGTGCCTGTTCCTCATGACTTTAGTGGAGATATAAATGTGTGTCAGTGACTCGAGCCTTCCGGAGGCAGACAACTGCTGAAACCCAAAGAGAGGTGGTGCACAAAGCCTGGTCGAAGTTGACCTTGACTCCCTAACATTTCAATTCAGGTGCTATTGTAATGGAAACCTACATGTTCTGGGATCCCTATATTTAACTCAGTCCTCCCAGAACACACCAGACAGGCTATAGGCCTGGGAATAAAGGGTGAAGGCACTGTCCTCTGGGCCACCATCTTTAAGCTGCCACCTGGACTACCTGTAATACAAGAGAAAACTGTCCCCTCAGAGGGAGGAATACTTGACTGATATCATGAGAAATTTAGGCTCAAGAGCAGCAAATGCTCTGCTAGTGACAGCTGCTCCACATAAATTAGTTTCCTCTAGAGAATTACTTGAGTCATTTAAGCGCAAACCAGACAGAAGCTGGAGCAGTCCTGCCGGGAATAGGCTCAGTTGCCTAATAGTTCTCTTTAGATTTCAGTAGCCACATGACTAAGGCTTCCTTCTGACTCAGTTCTCTTAGGCACCAGTTCCCAAGACGCAAGGGTCAGTCCATGATGGCACTGAGGTTCCCAAAACAGAACTAAGTGGCTGCCCCATTGCATCATAAAAGCACATGTCGTCTTGACCTCTTGACTTAGGGGCAGTGTGCCAGATTAATTCCAAACCAAGATAAGGAAGATCTGAGGGAAAGAAAATGGATGAAAATAAGGCAAGAGAGTTAGTTTCCCCTGCCACCCCGCCTGTGGGGAAGATTTACAGAGCCTTCTTGCTTTTGACCTTGTTTCCATTCCATGCTGTAAGTCTGACGGTCCCATGATAATGGCAAGTGCCCAAGGCTAGGCGGGCTGTTCCCCAGAGTTCAGGTGTAGCGCCACCCCTGGCCGGGCTCTGGCTTCTTGTACTGAAGTCCCTCCACCTTTTTTTTCAATGTTATTACATGTGTATAGGTCCTTTCTTTAAGAATTCTAAATGCTTCATAAAATCTGACCATCATACTAAGCCTTCCTATGAGGGAGGTACAAATCACCATGAAAATAAAACCTCTATTTAGGTCCCAGCTTTTCTCCTGTTAAAACAAACAGAACCTGGCCAGGGTGCTGGAGCCAGCTTTGGTTATGAGTACCTGACACTGGGAAATTCCTCTTCCATTCCCAGACATGAAAGAACTGGCAGATGGTTCCAAGTCTTACAGCATCGCCCCTAATGTAGGGGCATGACCTCCCCTGTGTCAGCTGCAGATTTGACCTCATCACTCATCACGGCCACATCTGTCAGGGAAACAAGTTCCTGGGTTTCTCCAGCCGAGAGCCATCTGAGGTTTTGTTTCTTGCTGCCCAGTGCCAGAACTGCCATTTCCTACCACTAAAGAAATGTCCCTTCTGAAATGTGCAATAGGGACTTGCCACAGTGTAATAGTACAGGATTTAGGACTAGACAGGGCAGCCATGCCCAGTGACTGCACCAACCCGCTGTGGGCTTCATTGGTGGTAGATCTTAACTGGGAATTAGGAGGGAAGCTGTTTTTGCCAGCATTACTTGTAAAGCAGAGGAAGCAAATACGGTGGCTGTAGCATGAGAGAAAATACCAAACAGGTTTAGTTGTTTAGCTGCCCTGTTTTTAGCTTTAATAACCTGCCACACACTATCCTAGGAGCTTTTTATACATTGTTTCCTAATCTCACAGCCCTGTAAGGAAGGTACTGTTTCCAATGTAGAGACAGGAAAGGGAGTCTACAAGAGTTTAAGAAATTTAACAGGACTTATAAATGGCAGAACCAGAATTCAGACCACACGCTAATCCCTAAACTGTGTTTTTGCCTCTGCTGCACTGAATTTAGGCAAAGTGGTCTACTCAGCATTCCTGGGACCCTGAGCTGCAGGGCATGCTCCTGCAGAGCTGGAGACCCAGCCACCTCATACCTGCTGGCAGAGCTGACTACCGGGCCACCGTGTTCCCTGGCATTCCTGTGCATCAGGGCAGCATCTGCCTCATCTTTCCCATTTAACGTGGCATCTCCTAATCAGAAACCGTGCTGCCAAATGAACTGGTGATTGGCCATTTACCAGGGAAGCTCATTTTGCGGGCACAGAATCCAGTTTCTGGTGAGTTAGACAAGTTTTCATCCAACCTTCCTGGCAAATGACTCAGGACAGCGTTTCCTGACCATATCTAAGAAACTTCCAGAGGTTGATGAATGGTCCTTCCTCCCTTCATTCTTACCTGTGAGTACATTTGGAGACTGACTGATGCCCAAGCTCAGCATCAGGCTTCTTTACAGTGCTTAACACCAATCAGCAGGCAGCCCAAAGAAATGGCTTGGGTTGCACACAGGTAACTTGCCTCAAAGCACGGGTTGGAACAACATGTGCCTGGCATCAGATTATATCCCCAGTATGGACATCAGGGGTCCACGTTGTCAGCTGGACTTCTAGCTCAGGCAGCCTTGGAGATTCCTAATAAGTTCGGGTCACAGCTCATACACTGCCATTCCCTGCTGCCTCCATGGCCGATGCGACCCTGCCCTGGGGTGTGGCAGATCTGTCTGGACCTGGTCGGTAGTAGTGGCACCTTCTCTTCCATTCTGTCACAGCAACCCCAAAAGAGTTGAGTGGGTGCTGTGATGAGCAGAAAGCTCCAGTTGGAGGGCATAAGAGAAAGCCCTGACGTGATGGGCCTCTGCTGCTGGGAATATCTCTTCCTTGCGTTCTGGCAGCTTCTACTTGGCTGCAGACTATCTGAGACCTACTTTGCCTTTTCTGGTCATAAACACTTGTACTGCTGAATCTGAATTCTTGGTTATTGTTCTTAATGCCTTTAAAAAAGCCAAATGTTTCCAGAGTGATGCCTTCTGTTTGTTTAAATCTTTATATATACATGGTGCGACCAAACACTCCCTTCAGAGGGTCCTAGTCTACAACTGACCCCTTCCCCCTCCCCGTTTTCTCTGTGGAAGGAAGCCCCTTAGGAGCCCCTGTCAGTTTTGTGTTGCTGGAATCCATTCTTAGATGTGATGAGTTCTGTGTCGGGGGGTCAATGGGGAAATAACTTGGATGTTTATTTATTGGAGTGGAACCCAGACTAACGGTGCCTTTTCCAGCTGGTGCCTTTACTGCTGCGCTGAGTTACAGAAGCCTTCCCCGGGCATGCACAGAGCCCTAGGATGGGCTGGGCCTGGGGACCAGTGTCAACGAGCAGGGTAGGAAAATGGTAAATTAGGCAGTAGCCAGCATTACCTAAAAGATTATTTTCTCAAGTGAGCAAACGTGGAGCTGACTGAGGTGTGTGTGATGGTGCTGTCATTACAGTTATTTCTATGCTGTCACCCCCCGCAGGGTAATAGTGATGTCATACTCCCTGGACTCCAGGGAAAGTCCCTGTTCTCATGTGGCCTCCAAGCGTGTGCACGTGCTCAGGCAGAATCTGTGCCTCTGGCCCAACTAGCTGTCAACTCTTGACACAAATTCTAAGTTTCTGAGGGGAAAGGAAAGGTGAAAGCCAGGAGGGAGGCAGAGGGTTTACTCTGTTGGGCCTGTTACATCCACAGCCTGATTTATTCCTAAAAGGAACCCTATTAGGTGGCTGGTTGTATTTGTTTGTTTGTTTATTTGTTTTTAGCAGATGATGACAGTGATGTTCCTAGAGGGTTAACCAGATTCTGAGATTGGTGTCTGGTGGGCTGGGAGTCCTGCACAGTTACTTGTCCGCAGGTGTTCTGTGGTCTCTGGGCAGTGGTGTAGCAGCAGAGGAGTCTCCTGGGGCTGGAGGGACTGTGTTTTCTTGGCTGCTTCACTGGGGAAGCAAAGGTAGAGACTCTAGTCCCTGCCTGGAAGTGTCTCCCCATGGGGAGGGAAGCTGGAGGAAGTGGTGGGCCAGCAGGGCTCTTGGGCTCTCCTGGGCGACGAGATCAGGTTGCAGTTACCCACCACTGCAGCAAGAGCATGGGTGAGCACGTGGTGACAAGCACCTGCCATGCAGAGCCTGTGAGAATCCAGATGCCTCACCAGGGGATCTGGCCAAAACCTTTCCTGCTGCAGTTAGTGGTGGAGACAGAAGGGCTGGCTGGTCCTTCCAAGAGGCTTCAGAGGAAGGCACCTCCCAGGCCTCTCCATGGGCCCTCTGATTACTGAGCCTGAGCCTCTGCCACGGGCTCCCTCCCTGTCCTCCTCATCAGTGCTTGGAGAATGGGCATGGGTGAGACCACCTAAGGAGGGAATCCGCACCCTCCAACGGGACTGGAGGAGGGCTGTGTCCTTCCTGCCTGAAGAATCTAGGTGGGATGGGCGGATGAAGGATGCCTTGGGAGGCTTCCCAGACTCTAGCCCAGAGGTATTCAGGCTGCAGGGATTACCCAGGCAGGAGAGTCAGGGAGAGGAGGGGAGCCCCAAGGAAGTCTCCTTCATGCCCTCGTTGGTTAGAGAAAACTTTCCTGGAATGTTTCTTCTGAAAATGTATCAAGGGGTTAGCCACCCATTTCTTCCCTGCATTGCCCCTGCCCAAACCTGACTTTAGCCTTTAGCCTTTAGCGCCTTCACCCAGAGTGAAGGAAAGGAAGACAGCTACCTTAGAGGCAAAAGTCCAGGGGGAAGACTCAGTGTGTGGCCTCCCTCCCAGGACCCTCCTCCTCCCCGAGTCTTCTCTGCTGGGGGGCAGGGGGTGCGTGCCAGAGAGGAGAGCCAGTGAACTCTTGTGCACACTCACCCTTTGTCTCCCCAAAGTCCTGTCAGGGTGTTGGTTAGGGACTACCCTCCCCATTGGACAGATGAAAAAACAGGCCTGGAGGAGTTAAGGGCTGATCTGAGGGCCACCCAGGGTATGAGGCAGAGCCAGCAGGAAGGCCCATATCAGGTGCTTAGGCCAGTGTTCTTC